CAAATGATTGGTCATTTTGGTTGGGCGCTGGAATTGTACAAAAAAAGCATTACCCCCAGAGTGGCATAATCCCCGAAAATCACCACTTTTCCAACTCCTAATATTTGGCAGGGTCCATGTTATATAAGAGGAAGCGTATCCCAACCCATGGGATGCTTCTCCACGGATAAGCCTATTGGCACCCCCTTCCCGTGTCCCAACATGTCCCAACCTTCCCAAACGACCAAAAGCAAAGCATTTCCTTAGATTAATGCGGAGTTTCTGAGACGCAAGATTTCCGTTATCTCTACTAGCAACTGATTTTAAAATAGATTTCAGCTCCGCTGTCCCTATCAACCAACCTCATCTTGGCGGGCCGTCGTTGTCGGCGCCTGATGTTGTCCAACGTCTCCAAATCTCAAAGGGTTGGTCAGCTGCGGGCACGCAGTAGCGCTCCATCCACGGCTTTGTGTCCAGATTCACCTTGCGAAAATGGTATCAACATACTGGGCATGGTCCCATGGAGGATTCCAAGCATATTTTCGTAAATGAACCCCTATGGTGTGAATGGGTGTGACCATCCAAGTGCACCAAATCTTAGACGTCGCAATCCCCACAAGCCTTGAGAGGCGCGAGCATTTGCTTCTCAGTTCTCACCAGCAACCTGCGGCCACCTGGCTTGAGCAGTTTGTAGCTATGTTTTTTGGGGTGAAATCTGGGACTACCCGGCTACACCACACCTAAGGTGGTGCCCGCTGCCCCTGTAGTGAGCTCAGTTGGTTTACACCATTTTATAACTAGAGGACGTTAATAAAGGCAAAACATGTGGGTCACCTCTGGGGACTTTCCACACTTCACCAGGTGAAACCAACAAACATAACTCGTACCCTAAGACCTAAGATATCCCCATAGGTCTGTAATGGTCTGCATTAAAAAAGATGATGATTAAAAAAACCTAAAAAAAAACCCTCAGTTCACCCAGATCGTAAGCCCCAACTGCCATCCATCGCCTTCCCGCCTTCCCGCAGTTCTTCCTCTGTCACCTCCAGCCCCTCCGGGCAGAAGACGCTGGTGCCACGCTGTGGACATTGCTCCACGCAGATGGGCGAGGACCAGTTGAGGACGAGGCCGTGCTCCGTCCTGGACGTGGACGATCGTGGACGTGGGGCGGTGGGGGGTCTAGGTGGATGGTATGAAGGAAAAAAGTGGGGAATTCATTTTTTCATATTTATGTTTCCTGGTTTTTGAGGAGAACAACTTGATAAATTGATTTGTCTAACCTCTGACCGCTGTCCAAAAACATGATGATCACTTGAGGATTCATAATCAGTCGCAGTTTGTCGCGTCCGCAGCCGTTTGTCAGGCAGCCCTAGATCATGGATTCTGATGAATTTTGGCACGCAGAGTGCAAACGTGAGACTCCACATTGACTCATGTGTTGAGTTGGAATCAGTTGATATATCATGATCACCAGTGACCTTCGCCATACCCAGTGAAAACTTGCCCTAAAACCCCCATTAAAAGAAGTGGCTCCCTTCCCCAGCCTGGCACTGCACCAATGCAGCAGTGTGAGATCTGCGGTGCCTCAGTTGAAGGGGATGATCCCAAGTTTCAGAGGCATTCGTTGAACCCCTTGAAGACCTGGATGAGCAGGGCTCAAAGGTCCTCCCGAAGGTCAAGTTCCCATGTTATATATATATATATATATATGGATTAAACTATAAGTGAACAAACAACAAATTATAATTGAACAGATAATTATAGATATAATCATCAGATAATAATAACTACCATAGATTATCTCTATATTAGATATCCTCTGGTTATTTAACATAGCCATGGAAAATGGCCCATTTATAGATGATTTTCCCATTAAAACCTCCATTTATAAGGGATTTTCCATGGCTATGTTAAATAACCAGAGGGTAAATGATAAATGTGAACCAACATGGGCCAATTTCTACCTTTATCGGGGCTTGCTTCGCCGGCACCGTCGCTCCAGCCGCAGATTCGGCTGCGGTGATCGATGCCCCTGGAGAGCTTCTGAAGATCAGCTCGTTGCACGGCAGAAAAACCTGCCGTAGCAAGGGGACACCGGTGGCGAGGCAACGGCTGCGCCAAAAAATCCCGAGGTTCAGAAAAGTCGTAAAACCCCATTAAAAAAAGGCCAGAAATTGGAGTATCCTATAGTATCCTATTCTTTCACCAGTTGGCTTACCGCACTTACCCAAATCTCCTCACCTTGGTAGGTTAAATCAAATAGTTTGACTGGATTTGATTGGTGAATATTCTATATGTGGTTTCATCATGTTTCATCAACCTAAGGTCTGGCCGATTGAATCCTTACTTCTTGTGTGTTGTTTTTTTCCCTGCACCTTGAGCTGAGCTATAGCCAAACAAAAGCCTAGTATATAAGTATATATATATATATATAACCTACCCCAGCTATGTTGACCCAGTAAAAATGATGGTTCACCATAGGTCCAAGTGTTTGATGATGCAAGCACCGTTATTGTGGTAAATCATTGTGAATTTCATCTTACTTTATAGCCAAATATCCTCAACATTCCTCAAGCCAATCCAAGCTTTACCCAGAAAACGTGCTGGTTTGCTCTGCCGGGCGACAGCTCTGCCCTGTCAGCAAGAGAAAGGTGGCAAAGGTCAAACACCATCCTGGGATCACTAGCAGCTCACTGGGGCCCTTTTGAAAGTTTGTCCAGGTTCTATGTTGGATTTCAGGTGGAAGATAAGATCTTCCTAAGGATGCAACTTCGAGGGGGATCAGATCTGCAAGCAAAGAGTAAAATCCATAAGTCCTTTTCATCCGCGGCGATCATTCAGGAGTGCCTGTACAAACATTCGTGACCGCTGGCCGTGCTGGGACGCATAACGGTTGTTGCCGACTGAAGCGGTTGTTCGCTTCCCAAATGATGGCACCTTTCGCCCAGCTGATGTTGCCCTGCGGCACGAAAATGATCTGTTGACTTTTCTTGTCAAAACCTAGGCCGTGATGAAGCAGCACTACCACATATGCGGCAGAAAAACAGAGAGTTTGCAAGGCTTGTTCGCCCAACTGCCAGCGTTCGTGCAGGAGGGCCCAATCCATTTTGCACACATACCTGGCTACTGGTCGGCTCATCATGAAATCCTCCCCGGTTTTCACTTTTACGTCCCCAAAATCATTGAACCAGTAGTAAATAGAACAAGACATAACAAGACCCATTTTGGACGTTGTCCCATAGTCACAAATGATACAAATGTTTGTTTGATATGTTCACCACTTTTACCTACCAAATACCCTCTGGTAAACTAACATAGCTATTGAAAATGACCATTTATAGTGGATTTTCCCATTAAACATGGTGATTTTCCATAGTTATGTTAGTTTACCAGAGGGTAAGCTTCTTGCCAGGTGGAACATGGTTCTGCTCCCCCACCTCGCCGCATTCTCAATATCCTCCAGCGCCGTAGTCTCTGCCGGCAAGCCCAGCACATCCACCACCCAACTGAAGGCGGAAAATGCCACGAAACGTCGGGCGCCCAAAGTTGGTTGGTATCGGCCATTGAAGGTGCACGCGGGCAAGTAACAGGGTGCATTCTTATCAAAGAGTTCCGTGAGCTTCTCCACGCAATCATCCTGAAAAAGGCAGGCACCCGGGCTGTCATTGAAAGATGATCATCCCGTGGCAAATTTTGAAATCCCAGGGATGAAAGAGAATGTGGATTGGCACAAGAATACCAAGAATACAGGGTCCCAACATATATCGAAGAATGATCAAGGAAAAACACAGACATGATCTACTTCAGTAGGGGACGACAATGATAGCTTATGATTTTCGGCTGGAATCCCCCCATTTTTGAACAAACCAATGCACTGATGAAACTCAACATTGAACGTTCCAAAAAAAAAAAACTGCACATATGTTGCTGTTTTACTCCCTGAAACGGCCGCACACATTCAAGTACATTAAAAAAATACGTCCAAACTCTACTCTTGAAAAATTGAGAAAAAAGGAGATAAACACGAAAGCACTGGCCACAAAAAAACAAATGGTCTCTCAAAGAAAGAAAGCACAACTAATACCAATCACCGCACAGACAAAAAATAACTAAAACCAATGGCTTTTGGAAAAAAAGTAAAAGGCAAAAATAATTACGAAAGCACCCAACCACTGAAACCCTAAACTCATCAAAAAAGGAGCGCTTTAAACCATTTAACGCCACCGGCCTTTAAGAGGATTCCCAGTCAAACAACCCCGCTCCTATCATAATAACCTATCGGCTCCCGAGATGGATGCTTCACTAATTCGACACTCTACCAGGGTTTCTGGGTAGGGTTAAGTCATTATATTACTAGGAAGGGACCAGTGGTGAATTGACAAACGGTCAAACAATTTTGGGGAAGCAAATAACACCCAGTGAAAACCAGAAACTTGATGAGCCGCATGCAATTGCAAAGAAAACCAATGAACAACAAAACAAAACAAACACCGCAAAGACCGCTAAGAAATCCCAGAGGGTATTCAGAGCAAGGTTTGAAACCAGCTGGCATCATTCCGAGAAAAAAACGTGTCAAACACCAATGGTAAAAGGATACATGCGACAAATATTCTGTCAACATTCAAACATTACTATTATACAATATCAATACTATATATAACACAAGAATAGCAATAATATCAACATACATCAACCTTAAAACCAATATAAATGTGGGTAAAATATAATAATCCACCCATTATACCACCTATTTATAAACTATATAAAAATCATCCTTAAAGTCATCCAAGCATCGTATTGTCCCTTGCCATGCCACGTGGCGCTCAGTGGCGGAAAGGCATTGGCCCCAGCCGCTGCGGCATCCGCCTGCGCGTCGGCATCGCCGATGAGGAGTTCCGTGGAGTTGCTGCCGCGCGGAAGACACGGATGTTCCAAGACTTCCTGCAGGATGCCCCAGTGGCCCCAGTGATGTTTGTTGGCCTATGACTATAGATGAAACCCCATAGTATAGCTTAACTATGGTTTATGGTTGATAAACCCATGAACACTATAGTTGTATCAGTTATATCTACCATAAACCATAGTTAAGTATAGTTAAGTCACAACATGTCACAACCATAAGGCAACTTAGCTATTTTTGGAGGTTTATGACTATAATAAGAATAGTGTATGATACTTATAATTATATTTGGATGGGCTTATAAGCCAACTTATATCTGGGGGGGCACCATCCTGACGGCATTGTTTACCATAAACATCCATAAACCATAGTTCAGTCACAACCATCTGCGGCAACTGAACGAAACTTTTGGAAGGTGAAGACTGGTGAAGATGGTACTACAAGATCTTGAAAAAAATGGGATCATCATGGATGATCCAAGTTGAACAAATTGGGACGACATTAATGGGATGTATATAGTTTTTGATGAGACTATATAATATGGCTATAGATGGGAATGTTTATATACGGCAATAAGCGTGTATATATATATAATTGAAAAAAAAAACTAAAAAAAAAACAATATATATATATAATGTATATTATATATATAAATGTATATATCAAGGAATGCAATCATATGGTAAAATCCTTGAACAGATTTGAACATACCTCTTGGAGCATATCCCAAGTTCCTCACCCCAAGTTTGCTCTGGAAATTGTTACCATCTTTAAGTGGCAACGGGGTATGCAATGGGGGTGTGTTGGAAGATATGATGGGTACTATTCATGGTATATTTAAGGCATGTTTATGCTGACGGAATTTTTACCGTCCAGCAAAACGCATAGTTTTTTATGGGGTGGGGTGGGGTGTGGTGGGGTGGGGTGGGGTGGGATGTTAACGTTCATTCACACTTCCACACATACGTGATGCTACGCTACTGCCCGTTCTTCTGCACCTTCCACACATACGTGATGCTACGTTGGGGTGGGGTGGGGTGGGGTGGGATGTTAACGTTCATTCACACTTCCACACATACGTGATGCTACGCTACTGCCCGTTCTTCTTGGAGACTTGGAGCTTCTTGGAGAACATAAAACATTGAGGACGTGTCGCAGCAAAAGTTAAACCCTCAAGTTCGGAGACCCATTTTTTGCATCAAAATTGACGTTTCGCTGTGGCGAAACCATGAATTTGTGATACTTATGCGGACGGTAAAAATTCCGCCGGGATGTTTATGTGGTAGTATATGGTGTGGTATTGGTGTGGTTACCATGAAAATCAGTTGAAGCTATATCAACTATATTCATCAGCATTCTATATATATAGTAATTAATGATTGAGATGAAGTATGTTTTTTTCCTTTACTTTTTGATGAGTGTACAGGCACCAGGATACCTCCTAAATTGGGATGAAAAAAAAACAACCTACGATGTAGCTGGAATCCTTTGATTGACATGACTGATATTGTTAGAATCAGATTCATGTACTGGTACAACTGGGTGGCACTGCTTGGAGACTTGTTGCCAAGCTACCGCGATGGGCAACCAGCGGGTCAACCATCCCACGGGCGTTAAGTAACATTGCAACAAAGCAGGATTTTGTGTTGGGTATACCCTCCCAACAATTTCCTTCTGAAGCTCATGGCCGGTGTCAACCGACCATAGATCCCCAAATTCAATGGCGTGTGGTGGATATTCCCCTGCAAATCAAAGACACACCAATACCATAAGCACAAAACATTAAAATTGGTCTTGCAATGT